ACTTGTTTTAATTACTGCTTTTACACAAAACTAAAGACTTTTATCCCTCTGGGGGGATTTAAGGAAACCCAGAAATGACATTCCTGACCTAGTTGTGATAAAAACTATATACAGCACTGGAAAAGTGGGTCAGCACTTTATCATTTACAAATCTAGGTCAGGTCAGCATTTTTCAACTAGTCTGTAACTATAAATTCATATGTACCACTATTATCTCTTAAAATATAGACCTGTATGTGAATGTATAAACACACATACACAAATACCCCATTTGCCCAAAATAAGTGACTACAGGTGATTGAAAAGATTTTCACTACACAGACATATTGGACATTTTCTTTGGGTGTTATTAGCACATAAGTTCAACAATCGCTGCTTACTGCAAGCTAGCGCTGATACTGTATCAAGTATACAAGTTATCTTAATTTAAAACCCAGAACTGCTTAATGCTTCAATGTTAAGAACACATCAGCTTCTCTTAGAATCAGTGGTTATAAACATTTGGATTATTTAATGAAATATGTGTATGTATTTAACCTTGGCAAAATCAGCATCTCTATGCATCAGTTTAATTTCACTTATAAAATGAGGGGTTGGACTAAACTGCCATTTGATTTCACTGGTCCTGTTTCAAAAGTGTAGAGACTTTCTCTACTTATATTTTCCACTTACAATTAGTAACTGTTATGGCTATGAGTAAAGCTACAGTCCAGGGGAGAAGCACCTCAACTTTGTTCTTCACTGACCACATTGGTAGTCATTTGCATTTATTTTTGTCTCATTGTCATGATACCTACAATGCATTTGCTGTGTTTGTGTTGCTTAGAGCTATTTTATGGACAACTCAGAGCAAAATAAAGCAACAAGGATGTCAAAGGTGTTAATAAGGGAAAGAGTACATACACCTATGTTAAAGTAATGAATGCTTCACATGTGTCCTTGATAAATTATTTTGACATGAGAAAATATCTGAAGGACAAAGTGCATACCTGTTAGAAAAAAATTACTCTGGGTACACGGTCAGAACAGACAGACTGATAAAATTAAAAAGCTTCAAAATACATTGAGGCAGATGTGGTAAGAACCCTGGCCATGCATTAGAATCATTTGAAGCTTTTAAAAACAATCAATGCTCAGAAATTTGGACTTAAATTAGTTGGGCATCTATAATTTCTCAAATCTCCTTCAAGTCTTTCCTTACAGGCGAGGCTATAATCCACTGCGTTAGAAGACCAGCATCCACATCAGATACTGATCAGCCTAATGCAACTGTTTCAATAGTGTAGTTCATGGAAACTTGCCATGGGTTTATGTGGTCAAACTATTTATATAATACTAAGATCTTTGCCTTTTTACTTTGATGCCTTTTGTGTTAATGGTGCAAAAGTAACAGTAGCATAAGAATCATTTTACGTAACTCCCCCTACCCCTCAACCACTGAGGCATGACAGCCTTTCCTTCTCGAATTCTGAAATTAATGGCATTATTGTATAGTAAAAGATTTGGTGACAGAGCTGGTAAGTTTAAATCTGAGCTTCACTATTTATAAGCAGTGTGATCTTGGGCAAGACACTTCACCCTTCTGTACTTTATTATTAAGCACAATGTGACCAATAATCTAAGTCTTTAATAAAACACCACATGTAAAATGCCTGGCAGAGTAGGTGTTTAATCGTTATTTCCTTCTAATTCAATCAATCATCTAAACAGGAGTTGTGCTTCATTGACTCCCACTAAACACCTTCAAAATGATTTTATTTATTCTTTCTTTTAACCTAATTACTGTTGTTAAGAGTTGAGGCATTCAATCATCTACTATCTGCTTGCTGCATTTGTTTCTAAACTAGCTTCCCACATTTTAATCTTCCTCTATTTAATTATACCCTCTATGTATTGTTAGTAGTTGGTTTTCTAAAATGCACACCTTTCTTTTCTCTGCTCAAAGTCTTTACCAGGTAAGCAATTAAACCTCATCAAAACTTAAAGGCCTTGATATGACAAAAACCCCTTTAAGATCTGGCCCCCAATCTTTCTAGTCTCATCTCTCATCACTTTGCTACTTCATTCCTGCCAGTCTCCAAGCACCTATTCAACTTGATGCCCTTTGGTTCCATAACTGCCATTTACTTTATATCTAAAGAATAGAGAACACTGTCCAATTCTAGCTGCTGACTCCTTCAATAATCTGTAATCTGTTTTGAACATATGGGTCAGTGATACCTCCTTGGGGATATCTCAGAAGCAATTCCCAGCCAGAATTACTTTCTTGTGTTTCATTAGAATTTATATGCTAATATTTTATCTGCTACTAGATAGTGAACATTTCACACCCCTTATTTTATACTCTTTAAGTATAAAATGTGGGCAATAGCTCCTACCCTGCAGGGTTTGTATAGAGTATCTGTACATCACCTAATATACTCACAGAGGAAGAAGTGAAGATAAACTTCCTTAAGTTAACCAAGTAAAGGATGGGAACTGGGAATGATTTTGACTCTATACAGCTCAGTCTAAAGCCCATGGTCTTTCTACATGTTAACACATGGACTTTACTTATTTAATAATCTTTCCCACTGGACTGTGAAGTTCTTGAAGACTCTGAGCTACCTTACATGACTTTGTATTCTGACTCTGATTCATTCAAGTACTAACTAATTTAAACAGTGATGTAGAGATTAAAAGAACTAGTCTGTACTTTAAAAGCTCTGCCTAGAGAGGGGAGAAATATAGGCAACACCTTATTGCTGTTTTTCTTTGGTAAGTGCTTTGCTAGTGGGGTCCTAGAACTATGGATGCCCAGATGGATACCTAAAAGGAGTAGAAAGAATAAAGGAGCAGGAAAGGATTTTCTGTAAGAGATAAAACTTGAGAGGAATCTTAAAGGATGTAAAAAGTTAGGAAGAACAAGGTATCCTGAAGTTCTTAAAAGTATTAATTCTTAAGTGGTATAATTATCAGGCTGTTTATGCTCTTATAAACAGTCTGCTGATAAACATTTTATGGCCTTGAAACATATTTAAAAAATGAATTCATTAAAATATGGTAATTCAGATTTAAGTCATTACCACTTGGTAACTTCACAAATACACCAAATTTATGGGCAAACTCAAGGCTGACATCTGAAGCTCATAGGAACACAGTAGCAATGAAAAATCAATCACCTGACAGTTGTTTCTGTTGTCCAAGCCTGTCTGATTGGCACATTGTATTTGATAGTGACAAATCAGTAAAACATTTCAGCCTCTATTATGTTGCTTCTGTTAACAACAGCATGAAGATTTTTGGCATCTGGACATTGAAAAGGCTGGGTCCTGGCTAAACTACCTACCAGGTTGTGCAACCCCAAGCACATCAGTCTCCTTGTCCCTGACTTCCTTCATCTACTCAGAAGTGGGCTTGAAATAAGACGCTTATAAACTGTTTTTCAAACACAGACACTCAAGTGCTGATAAATGAGGTACAATTGTTACTTTTGAAAAAGTATGGCCAGTTTAAATACTGTTGACTTTAAATACAGTATCCACTTTACTTTTAACCAGACGTGAAACAGTAAGATGATGAAAAGAATAACGCATCTTTAACTTGCACAAAGAGTAAAATAAATCAATTTTAGCTTCCTGGAAGACATGCAAGAATTAAGAGTAACAGCCTCTCTACTCTTTTTAAGTTGAAGGAACCAAATTTTCTAGGTTAAGTAACAGCTCACTAATGACCCTCCTTCAGAGAAAGTGCATCCTACCCATCATATCATATGGGAGGTGGGGAAAGAGGATATCCTTGATCAAGGAGGGAATAACCTGCCATAAACTGTCATCTCCTCTTTAAGTGGTAAACTTCTCCAGGGAAGAGACTGTGATTAAGCCTTATTCATACATAACCAAAGTAACTAGCATAAAGCAAGCAACATTTAATGAGTTTTTGATGAAACGTCTCAGGGCTCTGTACTGTACAGAATTCTGCAGGAACTTCTGGGAACACAAGCTTGGCAACTATCATGTAGACTGTCACGTAGAATAGCATTTTGTGCATCAAGGTTGCTTTCTATACTATTAATAAAAGGCAGGCATCTTTCCCCCCCAAATATGATCATAACTGCAAAATCTGACAGGTGGACTTCAAAAATTCATCGTGAGGGCCTGGAGTAGAGGCTTTTGGCATTTTACCATAACAAAAGTAAAATGCCTTTGGGCAGAACTCGGCAGACTGTTTTTATTACTGACACTGTATCTGTCCTGTGACCATGCTGGAGGCCATTACCTCCTTTCTTCAGCCTGGAGATGCATATGTATTTCAAACTTTTCTAAGACAGCCAAACCGTCAAAGGAATCTGCTCAATAATACAACATAACACATACAACCTTAATAACGTGTGGGGAGGAGAGGAAGGCCTGGGGCCAGACACCACTCCAACTACATTAAACTCGTAAAGAAAAACCATCTCTTCAGAAATCTCCAATCACTAAAACCTGTAACTTGTAAAATAGCATCTTTAACGCTGAGAGAATCAAGTAGGAGAGGCCTAAAGGCCCCCGATTCAACAGGTAAAAATCAAGATATGAAGTTTGGGGTTTATTTGATAACTATGAAACAAAAACCTGAATCAGGTGCATAGGGGAAGGAGACTCAAAATAAGCAGCGAAAACTCCGGAAGCTGTAACGATTCAAAGGATCAAGGTCTACTAAAAGTCTATGTAATCGACCGGTAAAGGTAAACTAGCATATTTCTTCTTAGGTCAAGAAAGCGGCCTCTGCGGAACGGGACGGGCTGGGCCACCCGGGAGTCTTTCTTGGGTGGTCGGCCTTCGTTCTCAGCGGTTGGACGTGCAGGGGCCACATGGCTCCAGGGCCTGCACATCCTCCGAACCACGGGAAAATCAAGTTAGTGACAAGGATCCCTTCTGGCCCGCGAACCTGGGGCTGCCACCCAACCCTCCTGCCCTACTTTGGGACCACAGCCCCTTCAGAATGTTCAACCACGACCCCATCACCCCGGTTCTTACCATAGTGAGGCTGGTGAAGCCCGAGCCACATCACCCTTCCGGGCCCAGGGCGGAAAAGGCGTGCACGCCCCGCCTTCCCGTCTCGCCCCTTCCGGCGTTCCAGTTGGACCCGTTAGGGCACCGCCTCCTGAACTGCGGACTCAGACGGTAGGATAGGCTTCTCTCTACGGGAATAAGGTGGGATTTAAGTGACGTCACGGGCCCCAGGCGGAAGTAGATGACACTCTCATTGGCTGCTGGACAGCGCTTGTGGGAGCGGGCCTTTTTGAGGAGACCGGAAGTGGGGTCACAAAGAGGTACTGTTCGGAAGTGGAGGGCTGTTACTTTAAGTAATAGTAATTGTAGGCCTGTAGTTATTTTCTTGTTTTATTTCCCCCTATTTTTTTAATATTAATTTCTTTTAGTTTCCTGTTATTTCCATTTACAACTCCGTAGTGCGTGGATATTTCCCTGGCACGACCACCTTCTACATTTAAGCTACTGGGCCATTCGTTTGTTGACCAGCGAACGCCTGCGTTCCACGGCCTGGTCCACAAGGCGTGCATCTCCTGGACCCCGTTTTCAGTTTCTCCCTTTGCACCTTAGGGATTTTTTTTGGATAACAAAACGCCTTTTAAATGCCCTGTATGGTTCTGGGATTGAACCTGGAGGGTTCTATTGAGTAGGCTGATTGATCATTGCTTTTAACATAGGCCTTTTGTCGTCCAATCCCCAGTAAAAAACTTGTCAGTTAGGTTGCATTTGGGGCTGAAATATTTGATTCTTTGGGAACAAGGAAGAACTTCCTGTGGTAATAAATGGGAAGCAGCTGCCCTTTCCTGAGCTCTAGAGAAGTGATCCACCAGCGAGACAAAGCACATGCCAACTTTATCATTATTTAGCTTCCTCTAATTTTAATAGTCCCAGTAGATGCTTTATTTTTCCCTGTTTTTGTCTTTGCATATTCCAATAGCTGGAGAAACGGGTGCCCTTATGTGTTTGTTCAGTTTGCATAGTTTTGGGAAATTTAGGGTTTATCCCTCTGCTCCCTAAAGTGCACTCTTTGGCTCCAATGTATAGTTTATTTTTTCTCAGGAAGCAGATAGTTTTTTTTTCAAAATGTTAGTTTTTAAATTCTTTATTAACTCAGAAAGTGGATAGAGAAAAAAAGGGAAGGAAACTCTGGTGTTGATTTGTGTGCTGTCTTTGGCCAAACTATGAGCCCTGTATTTAGAGCAACATGATGATTAAAACATTTGATTTCTGCTATCTGTTACTACATTGTTTGCTACCACACACAGTTTTTTTAAAAAAATATAACTAACTTTAGTTTCGAATTTACTGAATTGTCAAGAGTTGGTCAAACACAATTTTAGCAAGGATTTACTGAGCTTTATTAGGGGAAAATGATAGTGCAGCAGAGGAATAAAGATGACTTGTTCCTTGCTCCTTGGAGTAATGCGTCTGGGAAAGGGGAGAATCAAATATATAAAAAATGTACAGAATCCTCTTCCCATCAAATCAGACCATTCAAATGAAACAAACTTGGCTTAGTTATGGAAGTTATGTTGTGCAGCTCGTCAGACTTGGTTTCTGAAGGAGTAAACGTGTCTGTAGATTTTACAACTTTTTGCTTTCCTGTGAAGATCGCCTTGATCTGTCTATATGAATACTTAAGGATAATTCTTTGTGAAGCCATGCTTCAAGCTTCCCGTGAAGAGCACTGGGACTCTGAAGTTGTTAAAGATCACAATTGATTTACTGTATTTATGGATTACAGTTAATTTTAGGCCATGATCACAATATACTTCAGCTTCAAAATACAGTAGTGAAGAACAATATTGGCCAGTTATATTAATTAAAGTTATCCATTGAGGGACACAAATGGTAATAGATGAAGCTGAACATATATGTATAATTTTTTTTCATGTAACAGCAAACAAAATTAATCTCACCTGTGGTAAGAGGTAGGGAGTTAGTAATTGAACTATGTGGTTGTTAAGCACATAAACCCCCTGCTTTTGGTTTTCACTGCCAATGAACTAATTTAAGTACCATCTTCCATTGCTAAATAAAAGTCTCCTTTCTGAAAGGTCTGCTATGGTTTCTCCCTTCTTACTAAATAATCTTAGATCCTTTTCTTACTAAAAATAAAACCTATCATTCCTTTGTTAAAAAATTATTGCCTCTCCTGCATCTAGAAGAGTATTTTTAATTTTAGTTTCATAAGTTCCCTAGAATTTTATGTAAAAATAGTGCATACGTGTATATTTCTATTGAGAGAGTGCATAGGCTTCTCCATTGTTATGAGAATTAAATGAGTTAATACAAGTAAATCATCTTGCCAAGAATTTGACATTTAATAAGCACATTACCTATTGTGTGCCTGGCTTTCTCTTTCACTAAATTAAAAATTCCTTGAAGGGGGAGATGATGCTGTAGGGCTGATTGATTTGTATGTTAGGCACTCAATAAAAGGTTTTTGAAATAAATTGGTATTGCTTTTATACCACCAGACCATTTTCTCCCCCTTTTTTCTTTTTACTTTGTATCTAGTATTGAGTTGGAAGATTTTCTTTTACATGATTTCCCAGTTTTTAAAAATGGGCTGATATTCACATATATTAAATGGTTTTACTTAACTGCTTGTTTTTTCTGATCCTCAAATAGCCTCCATAGTCTAAGGTTGAGGTTCCTTGTGTTCTAGTGTTTGTCTTTGCTCGTTTTTCACCTCCTCTTAATTCTCTTTTTCCATGGCTCTTAGATTAAGACCCATAAATATTTTTTTGACCTGAGTGTTATTCCTTTTACTTTAAGAAATGCTTCCCTTAACCTTTTTTTCCACTTCCAACCCCATTTATTTGCTCTTCTGAACAAAATTCCTTTGAGTTCTATATGATCCAAATCCCAATTTCTTTTTCTTTTTTCTATTCTTTTTTGTGTGGAGGAGGAAAAAAATAATTTTCCCTCCTATTCTTATAAAGTTCTGTCTGGGCTAATAAATCAAATTAACATGAGACATATTAACAGGAGAAAATGACCAAGTTTATTACATGTGTACATATGGGGGTTCCATAAGAATATGAGAGCAGAGGACAAACTGGGCAGTTAAGGCACATATGCCACTTTGAACCCCGGAGAAGGAATAAGGGGTAGAGATTTGGGACTGCATAGAGGAGGGAGGCAAACGCATGGAGATAGAAAAGCAAATGTTTGGCAAATAAATGTTTGCTGGGCTATCTTTAATAATGAATACAGAGATCTTCGATTAAATGAGCCTTGCTAGTTTCTTTCTGATTACACACTAGTTCTTCCTGAGCAGGTTCTCTGTCTAAATTCTTTTAAGCAGTTGGGGGAAGGTTAAAGGTTTTTCCTGACTCATTTGTTTCTTTAAAAAAACAGCTTAAAATAATATCTCATAAGGCATGTTTTGGGGTGGCAAACTCTGCTTGAGACCATTTCAGAATGACTATTGCTTCCATGTTCCCCCAAAATGCTTTCGTTAGTGTCACCGGTGATCTCTAGGTGTTGATCATTCTCAGTCCTTACCATATTTCACCTGTGGGCAGCCTTTAACAAACTTAATCATTCTTTTCTTCATGATATATTTTCTTCCTTGATTTCCAGAATACTACACTCTTGGTATTTCTTCCATCCATTGGTTGCTCCTTCTCAGTCTTCCTTCTGTTCTTTCTGATCATTTATTATTGAAGTGCTCCAGGGCTCAATCTTAAGTTCTTTTCCTTGATCTACACTTCCTCTTGATGATACTAAGATGACTTTAGATGTCATCTGTATATGTTGTCATACCAAATTCATATTTCTAGTCCCCTCTCTTTCTGAATAGTTTTCTACCTCTACATCTCCAATTGTTTATTTAAAAATATTCAGACTTGAGTGACACAAACAACTCCTTTTACACCCGGACCTGCCCATTCTTTCTCATCTCAGTTGATGGCAACTCTATAAAGCCAGTTGCTAAAAAATATTTGGAGTCATCATTGACTTTCTCTTATATTCTGTCAAATCCATCAGCAAATCCTATTTGACTCTCTATAAACTATATCTGGAATCTGACTATTTCCTACTTTTCCTGCTGTTAGTATACTGATCTGTTTTCTACTCTTCCTGCTGTTAGTATACGATCGTCTCTTGCATGGATACCTGTTAGTAGCCACTATCATTTTTTTGCTTGGATTTCTACCTGGTCTCCCTGCTTTCTTCAATCCTTGCCTCTTTACAGTCTGACCTCACACAATAGCCACAGGGTACTTTTAAATGTAAATAAAAAATTGTATTAAAATATAAGATTCTAAATGTAACATGTTATTCTACATTGGGTCCTGGAATAGACAAAAGATATTAGTGAAAAAAAAACTGGTAAAATCTGATTAAGATAATAGTAGTGCATCTATCTATGTTGGCTTCTTTGTTTTTATAAATGCACCATGGTTATAAAATGTGTTAATATTAGAGGAAACTGGGTGAAGGGTATATGAGAACTCTACTATCTTTGCTACTTTTCTGTAAATTCAGAATTATTCCTAAATAAAATTTTTATTAAAAAAGAATGTCACATTTTTGTTTTAAAACCTTTTGTGACTTTTCATTTGCCTCCTGGTAAAAGCCAACCTTTTTTATATCGGCCTACAAGATTCTACAATCTGGTTTTCCATTATTCCTCTGACTTCAGTCCTTTGTTTTCTCTGCTCCCTCACTCTGTTCCAGGCATACTGGTTACCTTATTTCTTAGGTACATTAGGCCTATTTCCACCTTAGGGACTTTGCACTGGCTGCTTTGTCTATTTGGATTGCTTCTTCATAGACATCCACACAACTAATTCCTTTACCTCATTTGTGTTCAAATGTTACCTTTTCAATAAAGCCTGCTTCAGCCTCCTAATTAAAATCGCAGCTTTGCAACTAATTCCTTTTTTCCCCAAAATGCCTCCCTGCACTCCCAGTTTCCTCTACTCCATTTTTCTTCTCCTTTGACTATAGCACGTATCACCATATTTTATATACTTATTAGGTGTATTTTTAATTGCTCACCTCCACTGAAATGTGAACTTCACAAAGATAGGAATTTTTATCTGTTTTGTTCCCTTATGTGAAGTTCTAAAACACTGTCC